GCCTGCTCTCTGCTCCCTGCTTCCCACAGTCTGCTCCCTGCTCCCCACAGCCTGCTCCCTGCTCCCCACGGCCTGCTCTCTGCTCTCTGCTCCCTGCTCCCCACAGTCTGCCCCCTGCTCCCCACAGCCTGCTCCCTGCTCCCCACGGCCTGCTCTCTGCTCTCTGCTCCCTGCTCCCCACAGTCTGCCCCCTGCTCCCCACGGCCTACTCCCTGGGTCTCATGGCGCGTTTCTTGCTCGGCGAGTACATTGTTCTGGCATTACTGCCAGCACGCTTTTGTATTCCAGCACCACTGGCCTCCCTGGTGGATTTTGTCACAGAAGAAAGAGAATGATCAATATCCTGGTTAAACAAGACTTTCAAAGCTGATGGCGCCTAGATGGGGGCTGGAATTTAATGAATTTTCTTTGATTCTGTGCAAGTTTTTAAACATCAAACAATAAATCAACCAGGGTGCAGTAAAATATTTACATCTATTGACTGAGGTTCAAAAATGTAGAAGGCAAAACTCTGGTGAATTGATGTTGATACATTCTGAGCACTCTAATCCACACGAGTCTTTCCTTTTATCTGTCCGCATCTCTGGGCTCCGCAGAACATTCTCAGACACGCACTCTCTCCATAAGCGCACCTCCGCCATCTTTGGGGAGCTGTGTTTTCTCCCTAATTGTGCCGTAGCCTCCTGCCTGAAATGTTAGTTTCTGAAGGCAACTGCCGTTGAGGCCATGCTCCTTGGAAGATCTGCCATCCAGCCGCTTTTCAAAGCACAGCAGAAGGTGTTTTAGTGCTCGGCTTTGGCGATAATGGTTAAGAACGCCACTCAGAAATTCCATACGGTGGAGAGGGCCATCCCGCACGCGGCTCGGTGTGCAGTGACGGCCCTCTGTCTGCGCGGTGACGGCCCTCTGTCTGCGCGGTGACGGCCCTCTGTCTGCGGGGTGACGGCCCTCTGTCTGCGGGGTGACGGCCCTCTGTCTGCGCGGTGACGGCCCTCTGTCTGCGGGGTGACGGCCCTCTGTCTGCGGGGTGACGGCCCTCTGTCTGCGGGGTGACGGCCCTCTGTCTGCGGGGTGACGGCCCTCTGTCTGCGGGGTGACGGCC